CACGTCGCTTGGCATCAGTTCCCTGGTGTGCAATCTGAAGGCCAAGCGCCTGGCCGACGAAATGCTGCGCTCCAACACTTTCGACTATGACTAGCACAGACTCTTTGTGCGTGCCTCGGAGCAGGCTTGCGGCACACATCTTGCTTTCGACATTTGCTTCACAGCCCTTCACCCACTGCGCCCGAACCTCTGGTTTGCGGTGCTGCACTGCTCCGAACTTTGCTTCTCGGAGCCTATAGAATGAAAACCTACATAACATGTCAGATGTAACAGCGCACCTGGTCTTTAATATACAACGTCAAAACACACACACACACAAAACATGTAATTCATAGCATGTGCACTAAATTTAATGTGCAATCTACGTCATATAACAAACTACAGTAACATATATTAGCAAAATATATAGTTAGGTTAGGCATTAGACCTTTGGTATGTATGAAGTGTGTGTATATATACACATGTGTATACACATCGTTTTGGTATATACGTAGATCAAGCATCATGATGCACTAGAAAGAAAGAAAGAAAGATAGATAGATAGATAGGTAGATAGGTAGATAGGTAGATAGATAGATAAATAGATAGATATAGGCTATAGGAACCCTGCACATCCCAGCGGCCTCCTGATAAGCCTTGGTGGTCACCGAGGCATCTCCCTTTGCAGCCAGATCTCCGATCTGCTCGTAGAGGGCCCTTGGTTCTCCGGGTTTTTGGAGTCCAAGCGGCTTCGAATTCGACTCTCACTCTCGCGCAAGGCAGGCAAGGATCCGCACAAACGGTGTTTTTGACACTCACCCTCGGGCAAAGCCTGGCAAGGTCTGTAGCGATACTGGTCCAACGATGAAACAGAAGACACTGCAGTAGATTTCACTGAGGACTTCACTGAGGACTTCGTTGTCAGGAAGGGCTTATTGTCACGCCAGAGACAAGTGCACAACCATAGACAGCAGCCCATCTGACAACAGGCCCTCCACGTAGTGACAGACTAAACCGCTTCTGGCATTTCAGCAAGGACAAATAATCCTCCTTTACTGGTTCTAGGCCATGAACGTGCGAACACTTGCGGCTCTGGGGCATTATCTGCAAGCAAAGGACATGAGGGTCCCTGGAATTTAAAGAGTACCCTTCAAAGTTGAAAGTTAGATGTCTAGTCTCGGCCACGTTCTCAGAACACTCAGTCCTTCAGACACGCCGGGCAGCTCTCCTTGCAGTGCTTGATGCAAGTGTCGGCATCTGTTTTGGAGATCGTTGCGCCCAGTGCACTGGAGATCGTCATGCCGTAGGTGCAGATTGTGTTGATCTCGAGGAAGTTCACACCATCATAAAGGTCAGAGTTCTTGATCCAAGAGGCAATGTCCTTGTTGAGTTGGAAGCTCTGCATCACCAAGAACTTCTGCTGTATGAAAGACTGGACCATGAAGAGGTCCCGGGAGCCTCTTTCCTTGGCCATGGTCTTGGCCACGTACGGCTTGACCTTCTCGATGCCGTCTACACTGCTGTTCCAATTGCCGTTCACGCAGTCGCCATAGATGGCAATCATGTGCCCCCCGTTGCTCAAGGCACTGGCAGCCATTGCATCAGCAAGGGTCATGCTGCGCAGCTTGTGGCAGTCCGACTCAAAGGCAACTCCTGCATCCGTGAATGGCTTGACAAACTCTTCGTCAGTGCAATGTTTTGAATCGTACTCGATGAGGCGTCTGTGAGCGCAGTGGCTAACCGAGATGATCACGAACTCGTCAGGGTGTTCGCCAACCCAGCCAACTAGTCCCGGCAGTTCTTCGGGCAGCGTCTGGTCCGAGATCCAATTGACAAAAGGAGTTTCTCCGTGGTGAAAGTATATCTTGCCATCATCTTGCACCAGCCGCAGGTCAAAGGCGCGAGCCCCACAGTCCAACTGAACCTTGAGGCTCACAAACTGAGCCTGCGCGAATTCACGGAAGATGAAGTCCCAGTCTCCGATGTAGCCCGTCGCTGAGTCGTGGGTCATAAGGAACGGGGATGCCGACAGCCTTGTACTAGGATCTGGCTTGTACGGGCCAGCGTCAACGAGCCCGACAGAGATGTCGCACGAGCAGGCCCATGACTTATCCCCGTCTGCAAGGCGGCGCTTGCAGGGTTGGCTGGAGGAACTGGAGAGACACAATCCACCCAACATGCCGCAAGCTTCTGCACAGGTGTGATTGACCGCAACTTTGATCATCTCGCGGCGAGTCATCTCCCGGACGAGACCTGTCTGGATGTTGGCCTGGACGCTGGCCACGTTGGCCTGCAGCAGTTCCGCCATGTCTGGCTCTCCACGGCAAGTCCCATCTGCCACGCACTCGCTCCCACAGGCTCTAGCAACAAGGGCGACAATCACCAAAGGAGACATCAGGGCGCCCTTCATAGCAGAATGTGGCGGCTGACGCGGGGCCGAATGAGAATGTTTGCTGATGGAGCCCAACTTGAGCCGTAGCCTTTTCACCAGCGGTTTTTTCCCTCTCGCAGGGCAGAGAGCTAGGCTCACAGGCGAGGTCTGATAGGGGCTGCAATGCATGTTCTTCAATGACAGTAACTGCTGGAGTGCAGGACCAATGGAATCAACCACAGAAGAACTACAACGAAGAATCCAAAACAAACCCCGATTCCATCCGTGACGGCTCCAGGGTGTGTGCCATGTTACGAACTGCAAACATATAGTGTCCAACCAGAGCGGTTTATAGGGTTTAGGAGTTTAGGGTTCAGAGTTCATGGAGTTTTGACACTCACACTCGGACAAAGCCAGGCAAGGTCTGCAGAGGGGCTCTTGGTAGTCTGGTGATCCTTTAGAATCTTCGCGATTCTGTGTGAAACCTGCATCATCTCCATCCAAAGTTGCACCAAAACTTAAGCAAGCGGCCGAATAAGACCATATGTAAGAGTGACTTGCCTGTCTGCGTTCTGTGCGGCCGAAGCGGCCCAAGCACAAATCTACACATTCTTACCGCACCTCTGTGGCCACGCCGTCTATCTAAAAACAGCCAGGAGCTTCTGCAGCTTCAAGTAGATCAAGAAAACAAGAATTACGAACAGGACGATCGCCAAGCACCACACCATGGCCTGATTGCCCTGCATGCGGCGGGACATCATCGACAAGAACATCTTGGAGGTACCAAGGTGATCGTCGACGTCATGCAGATGGCCCTTCGTCCGCTTCAGTGCATCCCGCTGGTCGGTGAGCTCTGACATCACGTCCATGCCAATGCTCTCGGCCTCCAAAGCCGTCCGTCGGGAGTCCTCCAGGCGGCGTGCACCGGCCCTCAGCCGCTGTGCCGAATCTCGCTGCGCCTTCTCATCAGGGTTCGCCGAGCCGCGCAGCAAGCCTTCCCGGTTCAGCCGCGCTTGCACGCTGCGAACCAAGGTCCTGCCGGCCAGCAACTCCTGCTTGTACTCCTTCAGTTTCCCAGACAGGGCCGCGCCAAGCGAGCCCATGGACTTCACCTCGAACTCCATTTGCTGAAAGGCCTGTGTTGCGCGCTCCTGTGCCTCAAGCATCTCTTGCCCCGCGGCAAAGCGCTCCTGCGGCGGGTGGGCGCCTTCAACTACGGATGCCAGGGTGCGCAGCTGCTGCATCAACTGCTTGTAGTCTTCCTCGTAGGACTGGAAAACCTCCGAGATCGTGACAACAGGCTGCGAGCCTCGCATTGCCAGAGGCAGGGGATGGACCGAAGCTCATACCATCGCGTCCATCGACAAGGGTCTTGGTGACCTAACCTCCGTGATTGGATCTTTGGCTGGGATTGCTTGCGCCACTGTGGCCTACGAAGATGAGTGTGATGCGGATTTTGCACATATGCGGGCGGCCCGAGCGAAGAGCACGGTCAACGAAGTCAAAGCTGCAGCATGTAGCTCGCACGCGCTCCAGCCAAAGCTTGAGCCAAAACGGAGGGTTTAGCGTTCAGGTGCGGTGCAGGAGAGGTATATGTGAGCAACCTGGCATCTCATGGCTGGAGGCCTAGAGGCGCCTTGCCCAAGTCGAAATCATAGAGCATGGGGCCTCTACATTGAATACATCTTTCGCACTTCGGGCTGCCACCCTTATCCCAGTCTTCGCCTACAATGCCGCTAAGTGTCGCCATGCGCCGGAACAAGGGGTCGTCAGCATACCTCGACAGTGACACATGCGAAAGTGCTGCAACTCGACAGTCAAAAGCCTGCGTTACGGGGACAGCGTGCGAGGAGGTGTCGCAGGATCCGATCGTTCTCTTTACACAGCACGTGACGGCTCGACCATCCTGTATACAAAAACATCATGAGCAAGAAGAGCCAACGTAACGGCGGTAGTTGCGGGCCTCAGCTCAGGATGCTAGGCCGGGGATCCCGGGGGCCGAAACGTGAAGAGGGCGGAGAGACAGTTTGCGGAGCTGGGAAAGCAGAAAAGGGTATGAGGCTATGAAGCTTGCTAGACTATCGCGGAACAAACAGCGGTCCATGATTTGAAGGATAAGCATGACAACGATGAGACTTTGAATACAATGATTACAACACTGGCCCAGATGCTTTGGAATCGCCGGCGGGGGACGGCGATCCACGCAGCGGAACATGAGCCTGCAGTGTGGAGCACGCTGTGCAGGGTACTGCACGCCGGTGTGCACCAGTTTCCGGGGAATACCAGAAAATTGCGTTCGGCATTGGGCATCGAACGATCTCAGGCATGGTGCTTGGCGGTGTTAGTTTGACGTGTTTGGTGAAGCCTGGCCTCTTCTCAAGTGCTCTCCTGATTAACGGCATGCCAGTCCATGCATTGCGTCTTGGAAGACAGGATGATAAATACTCAGTCTCCATCCAAGCCACTCGCTCCGGGCCACATACTTGATGCCCTTGCTGACCTGCCATGGCCAAGAGGTGGGAAAGCAATGAATGGCAGCCTGCGCAACTTTAGCAACTCCATGTTGCGGCTTCGGATCTAGGAGCCAAGAAAAGTAGCTCCAGGAAATGCGGTGGAACCGGTTTTGCCTTGGGGGGGGGGGGGGGGGGGG